GGGGAGCGGGTTAGATAAAAAGGAGAAAGGAGATGAATTTCTGAAGGTGTGACATAAAATGCCATAAACATGTAAATTGTTATTTAAAACATTTTATGCAATATTACTAATAATAAAATTCAAGAATACAAAATTAAAATTCAAGCATAAAGAATCACAAGTGATGTTTTGCATTTTAGTAGCTAAAACATACACTCAAGAAAAGACAAAATGCACTTGATTAAAGCACACCTTAATAAAATAATTCAAGGAAGAATATAACCATTGTGCATGTTTCTGCAGATACTGCAAGTTTGGCTAAAAATGGGAATCACCAGAAAGCAATGAAAAAATGTTAAGCATAGTTTCTGTTCTGTAATTTTAAACAAACGGCTACATATTTTTTATGTAGCCTATAACACTTCTGCTTTATTTTTCTTGAATTCTATACCAGAAGCTCCTCAAAACTGCCCTAAGCCTACGAACATGGAATGAGTAGAAAAGGGTGTCAACAGCAAAGATGACTAAAAATTGAGTCAATAACTAGTTGTGCCAAATATTTACTTGGGGGTAAATTGCACGCAAATTTTGTTCAGTATCTCATATAAGTTTCAAAGCAATATTAAAAGGTAGGTCATTGTGGCTACACCTTATATAGGAATAATCTGAGCTCATAGTGTTTAACTAAGGTACATGTTTACAGCTGTCAAAACAGGGACTTAAACTCAAGTTTGTCTGACCACAATTTTTCCCTAACTGTACTTCAATAATTTCCTTTAAAATTTTGCTTTAATCCAATAATATTTAATGTAATAGAAATTTTTACAGGTTTAAAATGGATAAAATACTTTTTCTGAATGTTTCCAAATGAATCTTTTACAACATGACAATTGGTCAAAACTTTTCAAATTTATTTCTAATTTTGTTATAAAAAATAAATGGATAAAAATCAGTTTGAGGTACCTTTGACAGTCTTTTTACCTGCTCGACAGCTCTGTCCCTTTCCATGGAAGCAAGCGTTTTCTGCTTCAGTAAAGTATGGTGCTTCTCAAGTAACACCCTTATAGTTGGTTCATAAGATGCATAATGTAACTTCAACCTATGAAAAGTAAAGGGCATCTTAAAGGGTAATTCAGTTAAATCAGTGACCTCCATTTAACATATAAACATTTTTTTGCATTGGAATTAAAAAAATGAATAACCATTTAAAGGTCAACACATCAGAGCCCAGAAGTTGAAGAAGTATTATATGACCTACAACTTCCCTGCACCTGGGTGGAAGTGGGACAGTCACATTTCTCTGTACGTAAATGCGCACTCAAAAGATCACTGCTATTCACTGAGAGAGAACAAAATTGTGTTCCTTTCATTAATCCAGAAACAATTTTCAAAAAGACAAGGGTTTCAAACAATAGATAATTAAACAGAAAGCATGTCATTCACATCAAAATAAACTAAAGGATGGTCTTGAAGACAAGTTTGATTAACCTCATATTAAGGAAATTAAATATAAAAATATTTTGATATCTCATAGAAAAAATAATTGGCTCAACTTATGATATAAACACCTCTAAGAATTGGTTTTATTTGAAAACTCTTTTAAAATACTTTACTTTTTTTACTGAAGTGTAATTTACATGGAGTAAAATATACAGACCTTAAATGTTATAGCTTAGAGTTTTCATAAATATGCATGCCAGGTAGTCCACATCATTACTAAAATATAAAGCATTTTTAACATCTCAAGAGATTCTAGCACTTCATATATTTGGAGTCATAGAACATGTCCTCTTTTGAAAGTAGCTTCTTTCACTCAGCATGTTTTTCAGATTCTTCCATGTTACTGTGTATATCAGTAATTCATTCCTTTTTATCGTGAGCAGTACTAGTTCATCATATGTATAATCCAAAATGTGTTGCTGCAATATTCTGCTGATGAAGAACTGAGTTGTTTTCAGTTTGAGGCTATTATGAAGTTGCTCTGAACATTCTTATACCAGTCACATATGTTTTTGTTATAGAGCTTCATTTCTCTTAGACAAAATACTTAGGTGTAATTTACACTCCAACTTACCAACATTTAGTAATGATTAATCACTTCAGAGTTTCTCAATTCTGTTATCAATTTTGTCAGTTTTATTATATTTTAAAACAACCCACTTATGAGTTTGATTTTTCTTATGTTTGTCCCTTTGCTAATTTATTGGTAAGAGATCTTATTTTTATTATTTCATTCTTTGTATTTAACTTGTTGTGGGGGTTTTTTGAGCTTCTGAGGTGCAAGTTCAGATCACTGGTTTAAATTTTCCACAGAGCTTTGTGTCATCAATTTTTTAATTTAATTTTTTTAATCAGAGAACATATTTTGCATGACATTAATTATTTGAAATTAATAAACAAACTTATTTTATGGCTCAGCATATGACTTAGTTTGGTTAACATTTCATGTGCACTTAAAAAGTCCAAGGTAAAATTCAAGAAAGGTCAATTATGCTCAATTAATTTGTCTTGTCCTATAGACTTAGAGAATTTTTGCCTATTTTTTCTACTAATTGCTAAAAGAGTAGTGTTAAAATCTCCAATTATAACTGTGGAAATATTTATATTTCCTTTCTGTTTTATCAGGTTTTACTCCATATATTTTGGAATTCACATTAGAATCATGCATGCTATGTTTTCCTGATGAACTGACTCCTCCATCAATTAGAAATTACCTCTTTTGCTCTGATTTTCAGGATGCCCCTGAGGACACTAGCTCTGTCATCCCTCTCTTCAGGCCCTATGGGTTTGCACAGGGGGCCCTCCTTCCCTAGAAAATGCTGCTTCAGGGATCTCTTCACCACAAGGTAAAAGATGTCCTCCTGGACTTACTCCTACCTCCTCTTCTCCTGACTGCCAAGCTAATGGTCTGACAAGGGAAGAAAGACACTATACATCCAAAATGCTCCAAGAATTAATAAGCACATTCTGACAGGAACCAGAAGAGAACCCCAAAGACTGAACTCTGAGGTACTTGACAAAAAGGGCTGTAAACGAGGAATGGATAAACAATAACTCATTGACCTGAACCACTTTCTTAAGACAATGAATTTTACAAGTACTTCAACAAATGAGGTGAACTCACTCCAGGAGTGACTCTTAGAAACTTAGAAAAAGTGATAGCCAACCCTTAGCAAAGTGGAAATGCCAGAGCTGCCCTGGCCGACAGCAGAGGGTAACAGCAGGAGCCTAAACTTACTCGTCTGTGTATGTCAGACACATAGGGTATTGTAGGCACACAATATATGCTTAATAAATGCTGAATAAAGAACTTTACCTGGAACTTTCTGCCATAACCAAGTTGCTTAGCATGAATTAAATAGCTCTTTAATAAATATGCCAACAAATATTAGCAGCTTACCCTTTAAGGTCATTAATTAACTTGTTTTTTTCTTGGACTACTCGCTTGTGATGCATTCGATGAAAGTCACGTTCTTTCTGAGTTTTCAGCAGATCTTCTCTAGCCTTGCTGAAAAATAATAATAACTTTAAACATATTTGCTAATTCCTTTCTAAAAATTTATTTAGTATCAGTTAAAATCTACTATTGAGCTTCAAAAGAAAATTGAAAAACAAAGATTCCATTATGACACTCACTGAAGGATCCCAACCAACTTAATTGAGATGGGGGGGAGGGGTGCATAGGCCAAAGCCTGCACTTTCAAAAGTAACATTCATTCACATTTTATTTAAGTAAAGGAAAATGAAAGATATGCTGCCAAATAACTTGTAATCCATCTACTTCAAAAAAGAGTTTGTTTACAAAATTGAAATAGATATAAAACTGAATAATTCCAAATAATTACAAGGAAAAGACTTTACAACATGTAATTCTGAACTTGTTTGAATACACAGTTAAAAGAGAATGTATTGAGTTACTTGGCTCTGATAATTGTGGGGGGAAAGCATATAAGTTCTGAAAAACCAAGATTTTATTCTGGTAATGCATATGAGCAGATCATAGTAGTAAAATAATTGGTAATTTGATGAGAAAGGTCTTCAAATTCAATGTTGTAATACAGAAGCATTCTTCGATTAGATATATCTTCTGGTGTAAATAAAATATATTAATTTTATGCCCAGGCTGTATGTGAAAAATTAATGAAAATATTTCACCCACCCCGTTAGTTTCAATGTAAAAATGTAAAATATAATTTTTAATAAAAATGTAGTTATCTAACAGTCTTAGTCAAGTGACAAAGTGCTACTGCACTGAAACTCTTACGTTCTGAAAATAGATAAACTGAATTAGAGTGCTGACATCTCACAAGATGACCGGAATGGAATAAATCTGCTTCTACGTATCACAGTATTTCAAAACTCAGATTCACATCAAATAAATGCATGCAAATGTATTTCTGCTTTAGGAGCTATGTCAGAGTAGTCACTGAGGAGCAGCGACTGGGATGCTGCCAAAGAATGGGAAGAGGTTAGGTTTCCAGGCCCCTGATGGAGCATACCATGATCAGTGAGACTTCTTGCTGCTAGATCAAGTCACATGTGGCCTGTCTATTCTTCAAAGTTTCCTTCTTATTTTCTCCCCTCCCCCTCCTGTTTTTAAGGAGGATGACCTGTACAATTCTTTATTCTACTACCACTGTTGTGGTATTTATCACATGTAAATAAATAATGTGTCACAATGCTCATGGGTTACTCCCACCATCTAACCCTCAGCTTCATTTCCATGCTAACATCTTGAAGGTGCAACAAAATATGCATTAAAATATTTGGCCTTGAAAAATCATCTGAGGAATATGCCAATTAGTAGATGAACAAATAATTTTTTTCCCCAGACTTTAACCTTGTTTGTGTGTGAATGAAGATGGACCAAAAGAGAGAGAACCCCTCTGCCACCACCATGTGGCTAATGAGTAGTGAGTGAAAGAAGAGGAGGAGAGAGTTTAAGTAGAGTGATTGGAAAAACAAAGTGGCTGAGCTGGCATTTAGTTGTGCAAACACAAGAACAACACCTGCATTCTCATTCATTTAGAAAGAAGCACATAAAGTGGCCTATATACTGTCACATAGAAAATACTCAGTAAATGTTGCTGTGATCGTCATCATCATCATATTACTATTACTATTTAGCATAGTAGAAAAGATATATTCAAGACCTCTAACAACTAGGTTTATCTACCTAAAATATGTGGCATGCCAGTAGGTAAATATTCTCTCCTGGGCTAAAAATATCCAAATTCATGATCATTAGTAAAACTATCTTTATAAAGAATTTAAATTTCTATGAACATATATTTTACAACTACTACGACTGCCTTACTTTCAACAGCTTGATAAATTACATAAATGAACTTATGTTTTATTTATCTTATCTGAAATGTAAAGCCATAATAGGTAAAAAAAATACAGGATGGGGCAAAAGTAGGTTTATAGTTATTCGTATGGAAAACAATACAATAATTAGTAAATAATAATAGAAGCATAAACTCTGTTTCACATATTCACAACTGTAAACCTATTTTTGCCCCACCCTGTGTGTAGAAAAATAATGCTGCGAAGTTTCTTTAAGCAGAACCACAAATGCAAAGCACTGCATCAACTCCCTTTTTAAATACACATTAAAGGCCTATTTGTACTCATCCAAGAAAAGAAAGCATGGGAATTGATTGAAGTATTAGACCTTAAAGTTTTTCTGACCATTAAATTGGTTTTCTGGGCCTTGCTTTCTGTTTGCACAAATGAAGTCTACTCAGTAAAACAATTTAAATTCATTTCATGGTGATGCTTTTCCTATTATGACCTTCCTGCTGCCCATCTGCTTAATAAAAGGTAAGAAAAAGTAGTTCTAAAAAATAAAGTTTGAAATATTTATAAGCAATTAATATTTTCAACTATGTAGTATTTTCTCATTATACTAGAAAAGCATGTTTGTGTTAAAAATAAACTTTTATTAAGACAGCAAGCAGACATAGGGATTCTATTTCAAGTATAATGAAGTAAGATTTATTCAGTGAAACATTTCGTTTAGATTTGTATATCATAAAGAACACATTTCTACATGCTTCTTCTCTGAAGGAGATGGCAGAGTGACTATCTAACTTCCCTGTTTCAGGAAACCAGCAGATCAAAATCTACTAAGTATAAAATACTTATACTTTATCAAAGTATAAGATACTCATATTTTTATTATACTATAAAAACATTGTCCCCTAAACTCCACATTTCCACATATGAATGTGATTTAATAGAGTACTCTAAAAAATTATTTTAAGTGAATGCCCCAGTAAAATAATTTTATTAGCCAAATAGTTTTAACTAAGTATTTTGCAGTAACCATTTTATAATAGGTTTATTGGGATATTTTGTTATAATAATTTGGCAAAAGGAAGCATACAAACATTTTCTTGTTTACCTGCACTAATCAAAGTAAGTCTTCATTGTCAAGTACTTTTCACATGTGCAAACTTGAAGCAATGCATTTTCTGATAACACTATATGATTACTAATTATTTCATTGTCTTGACTTGGTTATAAATGAATTAGTTTAACCCACTAAAATTAATACTGGAATCATTTTTGAATAGGCAAAAAGGAATTCAAGCAGATTAGAGGAAAACTTTCATTATATTCTTAACCAAAAAAGAAAGGGATATACCAAGGTCCAGAAAAAATACTTCCTTAACTTAACAAGCAATCACCTAAACAATAAAGCATAAAATTTTATGGGCCTTATTATTATCTTCATTTCCACGGTGTTTTTTTCTGAAAGTCATTACATTAAATGGGTATTCGGAAAAGCTGGGTACTCTCTGACTTTTTATAGAAGTGAATTTTCTAAGTAAAATCAGAGGCCCTTAGTAAAACACTTAATTTTTCCTCAAAATTAACTGCAATTTAATTATAATTTAAAATGTATTGGGTATTTGCTATGTGCCAGACATTGTGCCAAACACTAAAATTATTCCCTCAACATCACCCCACTTACACATGAGGAAAGTGAGTGAAAATTATATTCTCATATCTAATAAGTGACAGAGCACCACCTATTTGTGTTGTTCTCTCCATAACACCTGATCTGATATCAATATCTGTTCTGAACCAAAGTTTGAGCGGGATGAGTAGTGCAGTTTGATAACAGCAGATGTTGGGACCTAACTGCGCCATAAGGAGCTTGTTTGACTTCATTCTAGTGGACTGTACCCAGCTAAGTCAATCTGTAAGCAGGTTACGCAGGACGTAATAATGTTCTCCCTGTTGCCACCATGTCCTTCCATCCAGTCTATTTCCCACACAAGAGCCAGCTCCTCAGAACTACCCATTGGCCTCACACTACACTCAGAAGAAAAAAGAAAATTCTTAAAAAGGCCTTTTGAACTTACCCCATCTCCAGTCACAGTGGTCTCTGTGCTAGTCCCCTAACAAGCCAAGCTGTCCTCACCACAAACTCTCTGTCTTCCTTTTGCCTCTGCCTGGAATGCGCTGCCCATGTTCACACGTGGCCTTCTTTCTCAGTATCTCCAAATGTCTGAGAGGACTTCTCTCCCAGCCTATCTAAAACAGCGCCCCATGGCCCTAGCCTGTGTGCCTCAGTTGGTTGGGCGACGTCCTGGGCACAGATTGAAAGGTGTGATTTGATTCCCGGTCACAGCACATGCCACAGTTCTGGGTTCGCTCTCCAGTGGGGGGCATGTGGGAGGCAGCCTGTCAAGGTTTCGCTCTTGCATTGATGTTTCTCTCCCTCCCTCTCTATTTCTAAAAATCAATAAAAACATATTTTAGCCCAGCAGGGCGTGGCTCAGCGGGTAAGCATCGACCTAGGATCCAGGAGATCACGGTTCAATTCCCGGTCAGGGCACATACCCGGGTTGCGGGCTCGATCCCCAGTCGGGGGGTGCAGGAGGAAGCCAATCAGTGACTCTCTCATCATTGATGTTTCTATCTCTCTCTCTCCTTTACTCTCTCTCAAATCAATAAAGATATATTTCAAATATATATTTTTTTTTTAATAAAAAAATAAAACAGTGCCCCACTTACCTCTGCCCCTTCACTCATGCTATTTTTCTCACAACACCACTACCTGACACACCACCTGGTGTACCTGCCAACACCCATGTGTAGCTAAGGGCTGTCTTATTAGATAGTACAGCCTCCAAGGGTAAACAGGGTGGGGGTAAGAAGAGAAAAAGCAGCCCACCGATGGGGTAGGGGAGGCAGAACAGTTCTCTGTTACAGAAGCTGAAGGAGGACAGGAATGAAAAATAGACTCGGAGAGGTGAAAGCCAGGCTACAGGATGTTAAAGTACAAGTACAATGATATTTTTAGGAGAAAACCACCAAATTGAGAATTTACAATATCTACCTTATGAGAATAAGAAAATGCTAGTGAAGATAGGAAACATCAAACAAACAGGTTCCTAATTAATAAAACTCGAAATAGTTTTTCTGAACCTCAAACTGAGGTAAATATTGTGGAACGTCAACTATGAAATAAAACAAGGTTTATAAAATAGTGTCTTAGCTGTGAAAGATTTTATAACTCTACTGATGCTTTCTAGTCTTTAACCAACAATTTTCTACAAATGTGCGGCAGGTCACTACATTCTAGACATCTGCATTCAAAATAACAACCAATCTACATTTCCATATAAAAGTAGCGTTGTATTCTCCATTTGCAAAAAAAGAATGTCAAACTACTACATATGCCATTCGTCTCCGGGGTTTAGTACATAATATACTTTCACCTTTAATGTAACTATAAATCTTTTTTAATAATACATTTTCCCCTTAAGAACACCTATAAGAAAAATTCCCAGAAGTTATTTCCCAAACTTTTTAAATCAAGGTATAATTGACATAGCAATGTATTAATTTCAGGTATACAACATAATGATTTGAGATATATACATATATTGCAAAATTATCACAAGTCTAATTAACATCTGTCACCATATATACATACACACTATACACCAAGTTTTAAATTTTGGAATATAAGCTACATTTGTAGCAAGTATAGGGAAGACCTCTGTTCTAAAATAGGCATTGCTTACAATTTCATTTTTAATTATAGCAATTCAAATGATATTTTAGATTGAAATATTTATCCTTTTCATTTCTTCCTTCATGCTTCATCACTGCTGAATTTTTAAAAACGTTAATGTGATGACTAAAAAAAAATCTACTAGGGATCACAGCCTTTAGAGATATTGATAATAATAGCTGACATTTTCAAAGCACTTTGTGATTTACACAGCTCTTTAATATAGATTGTCTCTTTTAATTATCACATCACTCCCTAGGAGTTAATAATATTATGTATAATTACTCCCAGTTTAACAATAAGAAAGCTGAGTTAATAAGTAGCAGAATATTGGAAGCTAGGTATTTGAACTTTAAGTTCAGTATTCTTTCCAAGGCAACTCTCCCCTAGATAAATGTTAAGCTTATAGCTTTATGATTGCTCTGATTTTTCTAGATATATCATTAAATACTACCAGTATAATCAAGACAATAGATAACATATATGTAACCTTACACTTCTGCATATTAAACATTATTTATTATTAGAAAAGTAACATCTACTCTTATCTTGCTTTAAGAAATAGCCTTAATTCTAAAATGAAAAACTTTAGGGTAAATTCCACAAAGGGAATCCCATGTTTATCACTAGTTCCTATTGGGAATCTAAAACTGTATTTTAGTAAACAGTCTATATTTTATAAACATTTGGCAATCTGATATTTTAGTAAACATACACAAGAAACATTTAATTTGAGGGATATCTGTTTTAACCATGTCTTTTTAAAATATTAAGATAATTTCACTGCTATTAGTTTATACGGTGTTGATTATAATAAATATAATACTCAATAAACAACCAATAATCAACAATGATTATTTAATGTCACTGGGGTGAAATTCATTGCACAAAGAGGCTCTATTCAAAAGAAAATCAACAAACTCAAGCACTAATTCAAAGGATTCAGGAACTAAAACAGTATGCCAGGCAGCACTCTGGAAGAAATTGCTGTGTCAAATTCCCAGTGCTTCCATTAGGTGTCTTTACAAAATCACAGAGTTTCAGGGCCAACAGCACAAATCACTTCTGAGAAATGGAACCGAGAACAGACAGAACGCTGGTTCTAGTAACACATTATTCTGTGGGTCATTATACACTTCTATCTAAAATGTACAGTGCCAAATAGCACATCCATAGATAATATGAAATTTGCATAACTTGCAAAAACATTGCTATAAGTGTATATAATAACTGAATAAACGAAAGTACAAATTATCTTTTATTTACCACCACCTTTTAAAAGGTGCTTTCTTTAAATGTTTCCTTCAGTATGAAATATAAAGTCTTATTTCTTTACAGTAAACTTTTTACAAAGATTATAAAAATATTATGTTCCTACATGGTACGTTTGTTTATCTAATTTTTTTGTTTTAATATGATTATTTAACAAAGAAAGTCCTTCTTTAAAATATGTTTAATAAAAATTAATGAACAACACTTGAACTGTCTCTACTCCATATCTAAGCATTGATTTTCCATCTCACACTGTCTTAGATGAGGAGATGCACACAGGTCAACACATTCACATATTTCTTTGTCAGACTAACACTGTCTATTTAATGAAATTTGTTCACCCAAAATTGTATGTCTTGCATTAATTTTAGAACAAAAGAAAGATGCAGAGAGATTTGGCTTTTGTTAAGTTTCTCCTCTATGTATAAATTCATGCTAGAAAATTACTAAATAACAGTGTCCTTTGGGGACTTTTCAAATACTGAAATTCCTCTATCAGGAATACACTAGCTTCTTCCTTCCTCTCTGCTTTCTATAATTTTATTATTATTTCAGAAATTAGCTTATCCTCACAGGGGAAGATTTGACAAACCATGAAAAGATTATCAAAATACATAAGGAAGCGAGTATTATATAACAAATTAACCATCTCCTACACAAGCCCCTGCATTCCACTCTTGTTGATGAGCTGCAGTTATGAGCATTCTGGTCATATGTTGAATTAATTTGCTAGTGAAGCCTTTCACATTCATTCCAACCAGAACTTAAATATAATTCAGTTCTCCAGAATGAAAACTCTGGTACATTAACCACCATCCACATATTAGCCTCGTTCAACTCTTTTATTTAGTCCAAAATAAACAGAAAGAAAAAAAATCATTTAAAAATTAACATACTCAGCTGCCTGTTTGTACTGCTTCAAGTCTTTCTTCAAATTTTTGTTTTCATTTTCTAAAAGCATATTCTGGGTATAGACATCTGGAACAGAACCAACATCTCTAAGTTCAGTTACTCCCTTCTGTATTAATTCATACCTAGAATAAAATGAAACAAAAGGCTTTACGTTGTTTCTTTCTACTAAATTCACTTAAATAATGTACAATTCAAAAAGTTAAGTCTTAGGAAAGGTTTATAGAAATTAGTTGCAATATTACTTGTATAAATTAAAATGTCAATGTTCATAATACATTTTTAAATAATAATTAATGAATTGATAGGTACTAATATCTTTATAGTATATAAAATATAACTGGACATCTATGTTTCATGCACTAATCTAGACACTGGTGAAACTAACAAAATGGTTCAAGTCTCTGTCTAATGAAGTGTCCATACTAGTGTGGATGGTGGTATGTTCTATATGAAGTAAAATGAAGCAGGACAGAAGGACAGAGGGACCGGAGTGGAGAGGGATGGGGGTGTTGGCGGTACTTTACAAAGGGTGGACAGAAGAAAAAGTAAGACTGACAAAGTGGCATCTGAGCAGAGAACTGAAGGAAATGAGGGACTGAACCATGTGGATATGTGGGAGAGGAGCATTCCTGGTTGATAGAAAAGCACATGAAAAGGCCCTGGGCAATCAAGTGCTTGGCATGTACAATAAAGAGAGGGGGGGGGAAAGAACAGTATATGTCGAGTATCTGAGCTGGAGCCAACTAACTGAACAAGGGAGAGAGTGGTGAGAGATGGGTCGAGGAGACAGCAGGGAGCCAGGGAGAGGAATGGGATTCCACTCTGACTCATACTGAAGCCACAGGAGAGGTAAGTGCCACGGATCAGATTTATGTTTAAAAGATTCTTCTGGCATCTGTTTAAAGAAACGAACTCTAGAGGAGCAAGAGCAGGGTCAGAGACTACTTCAGAGGCTGCTGAAATAGTCCAGGAGAGAGAATGGATTCTCTACAGGATTCTCTTACAGATCGGCTATCAGGTTGGTTAAAAAGAGAAGTCGAGGATGATTCCAAGGTTTCTGGTGAGCACAGACAGCAACTTACTGAGACGGGGACAATGCAACAGGAACTGTGTGGTTCAAGAAATCAAGGGCTTGTTACTATTCATGTTAAATGCTGTATGTCTACTGGACAATCAAGTGAGGATGAATATTGGGTACACATGTCCAAAGTTCAGGAAAACTGTCAGGACATGCAATTTAAGTTTGGGAATCATCAGTAAATAGATACTATGTATAGACTCAAGACTGGAGGAGGCCAGCTAGGGAGGGAATTTAAAGGGAGAAGTGAAGAAGTCCTAGGACTGCTTTAAAACTGGGACAAAAAGGAAATGCTACTGAGTAGAGACTGAAAAGCAGAGGAAGCAGGGAAGTAAGAGGAGAATATGAGATCTGTGGTCAGGAACCAAGTGCGTCAAGTGTTGCAGGAAGAAATGAACGACAGTGACAAACGCTGAGGGTGACTAAGGGGAGTACTGAGCATCGATCGCTGAATTTGGCAAGGTGAAGTCACTGAAAAAAGGTGAGTCATGAAGATGAAAGTGGAACTTGAGCACGTATGAGAGCTGGAAAGGAGGCAGCAACAACAAACTCTTCCAAGGACATACGCTATAAAGCAGAGCCAAGAAGTCAAGATGAATCTAGAAACGGATATGGAGTTCAGGGTATTTTTTAATTTCTTCTTTTAATATATGACACATTATTGCACATCTGTCTGCTTATGGGAATGATCTAGCAGAAAGGGGAAAAGTTAACAATGCAGGAAAGAGAGGGGACAACTGCAGGAGCAATGCCCTTGAGTAGGCCAGAGGAGCTAGGATCTAGTAGGGAAGAGGAGGGGTGACCTCAGACAACAGTGTGTATGGTGCGGCCTCTGTGACAGATGAAACAGAATACCCGAGGACAGAGGCAGCATGTGAGCAGAGAGGGAGGCAGGAGCCGTGGCACTTCTGTTTTCTCAGTGACATAAGAAGGAACATCAGAGAAACATTTACAGATTTGTAAATAATTACAATTTTAATCATTATATGTGGAAATTAATAAACCTAAATAAAAACAATCAGCATAAAAAACATTTCAAGTAATAAAGTCATTGGTAAACAAATCTCTATAAAGCTTGCTACAGATGGGCTAAACATTAGTTTTAAAATGCTTATCAGTATTTTCATATTATAAATTTTTACTATTATTATATATTAATAATCATATGTTTTTATGTTACATATGTTATCTGAAATTTAAAAAAACAGCAAGAGAAAGGGTAAGATAATTGAATCAATACTTAGTAATATTTGCCACAATTTCTAAAACAGCAAATAGATAACCATTTAATCATAAATTCACTATTTTATCCACATTTCAGATGTGATTTATACTTATCTCAGAAGAAAAGACATAAGGATTGATTGAAGTATTGGACCATAAAGTTTTTCTGAGCATAAAATTGGTTTTCAGAAACTTGCTTTATTTAATGCAGAAAAAAATCACTAAAAAATTACTTCAATAAGAAAAAAAGTGCTAGAGAGTCCTCTAAATAAATGCTATGTAAATAAATTAGTATGTAGTAAAATAAGTAAAAATCAAACATAACACATATTAAAACATCTATATCTTAGGACATTCGAAAGTTACTTATCAACCAAAATTAATACCATCCATGTAAAAATACCAAAGATGACTTTAAACTCACTAAAACTATTATAATAGTATAAGATAATTAGTCATTTTAAACTACTAACTCTGGAAATTTCTCAGTAAAATCTGCATATTCTTACATAAGAATTTTTGGTTTTGTTTCAGGTGCATCTGTGTGTGTATTTTAAAGAAATATCCTGCTCTTCTTTGTTCCTCCTCCTCAGTCATTTATCCTTAGAATAGGACTGAAAACTGTCCATATGTATTAGGAACTGGAAATAAAATTTACTACCAATAGAATTTCAAATGAATTACTGCCAATAAATTTACATTAATGGTCTTCATATTCACTATAAAGTCCATAAACTAATTACAATTATGTGGAAATAGAGTAAATACACATATTTCATGGAGAAAGTGCATAGGCTTTCATAACATCTGTGTGTATGCCAATAGAGTTTAAGACCCACTGCCCCAAGTGGTGACTACTATGATAGAATTTCAGTGGACGTAGAAATGCTCCAATAAGAGTAAGCATTACTTTCCCTTTGTGATGGCACTCGAGGCACAGAATATAAGACAGAAAAACAGTCATACAGATAATAAGCATCAAGTGAGAATCTTTCCTCTGTGTTCACAGAGAGAGGGGGGAAATATTTTACCAAGAAGACAAATGTGAACTCTAAATCAAAATATTCCTTAAGTTTTCTTGGTCTACAATCAAGCTAAAAAAGCACTTTTATTGACTTTTATTTCAAGATTCCCTTGTATAATTCCACAATTCCGCATGGTGGTTAGGAGAGGAGTTGACTGCCCCTTACTGGCTATGCCTGGCTGTATACAGTTGTTGGGAGAAGTAAACGAGATAAAGCATGGAAACATACTGAAATAACAAATATGACACAAAGTGCAATCCTGAGTGATAAACCTTAGGTTTCATCTTCTTAAATACTTTTAAATCTTTCATATTTAATGAACACTGTATTAATTTTGGTTTAAAAATTTAAGTTATGTTAAATATTCACTTACAACCCTGCCTTCTTAAAAACATAGTACATAAATAATCTCTGTATACATATTTACAATTTTAATATATTGTAGCACAGTAAAAGTTAGCCTGACAGAATAGTCACAACATTCCTGTGTTTAACTTAATCCTGGTTGGGGGAAAAATTCTTACCACATAACACATAACCAGAAGCCAAATCCTAATCTTCTGAAGAATCAGCAATAGGTTTAAATGCTAAAGGAATAAGAACTAGTTGTGTAGGATTCATTGAGAGACAGTAATGTATACACAGCACCACACACACTTCCCACACATACTGGGCAGCATAAGGGATTTTTCAAGTGTAATTTTAGTTCTAGACTCTGGCTTTAAACCTAACCATTCCCAGAAAGTTCTAACTACACTGCCCAATTTGAGTAATTATATATTATGCCAAATTTTATTGGCCAAAAGCATCAATATTTATCTTTTTTGAAAATTACAAGGCCCAGCCGGGCAGGGCTCAGCAGTTGAGTGTCAACCTAGGATCCAGGCGATCGGGGTTCAATTCCCAGTCAGGGCACATGCCCGGGTTGTGGGCTGGATCCCCAGTCAAGGGTGTGCAGGAGGCCGCCAATCAATGACTCATCATTGATGTTTCTATCTCTCTCTCTCCCTCTCCTTTCCTCTCTCTGAAATCAACAGATATATTTAAAAAGAAAAAAGAAAATTACAGGAATATACTACTGCATAATTTATAATTTCACCTACAATTAACAAAAATTAAATTAGCAATAAAAAAATCATAAATAATTGCACTATTACCTGTGATGGCATTTTTATCACCACCCAACCTTCAGCAGAGACCAAATTGGAGATAACCAAGGATTATGTAGGAAGTGAAAGAGAAAGAGAGGAAGGGAGAGGGATAGAAAGAGAAACATCAATGTGAGAAACATCAATCATGCCTCCTACACGCCCCCTCCTGGGGATCAAGCCCACAACTCGGACATGTGCTCTGACTGGGAATGGAACCCTGACCTTCTGGTTCAGGGGTCGATGCTCAACCACTGAGATACATTGGCGGGTGACCCCTATATTTAAAATTAGGATTATCCAAAAAACATTATAAACATCTTTATACATCATATCATTCCCTCTTTCTATAATATGCAATGGCTTTTAAAGATCAAACATTTTCATATCTGATTATTTAATAATATTTTATTAAAGAACAGGGCACTGAAAACATGTCTGGTGCCATTACTAACTGCAGCAAAGGAATAAAGACAGCATGCCTCCTGAAGCTTATAACCAGTAAGTTATTACAATGTTCAACTATAACAAGAAAATCTTGTCTTTAGGCATCATTTGAAAATATTCCCACTTACTTCTAAATGAAGGAAAATTTATAGAAAAAGAATCAATCATTTGTGTGAGTAGAGAAAGGCAGGACATTATACTATAAGTAAAACAAACAAAGTAGTACTGTTAGTAGGATTTCTTAATGCAGAAAATACTACCCTAATTATGCAGAAGATATTAGGAAAAGTCTTTCCTAAAATAGTTTTGTATTATATTATATAACTCCAGGAGATATTCCATTATCTTGATTTTTTAAAATCACTTATTTTTTTATTTCAGAAAGATATTTAATATAAATTTATTTGAAACTGATATCCTGATTATGTGCATTTATGTGTTTGAGTGAGGGTGTTTGTGTGTGTGTGTGTGTGTGTGTTGTGGTGTGAGTAGTGGGGATGGAAAAGGTTTCCATCTATTTTATCCATTTTTCATAAATTGAGTGACTTCAGTCTTATAAGTGGGTTAAAAGGGTGCATGTTAAACATTGTCAGCATTTCTAGAGAACTATTTATCTACATCATTGCTTACCATTCAGATTGGAAGCAATCAAAAGTTCTGGTCATTCCCATTTTGATCAGGAAATTGCAGAGAAAGTCTTCTATTACTTCAGGTACTGCGTGCTTTGGAGGAAGAACTGTTTTCTGCTCCTGAAATTTAAATGTACAATTAATTATTTTGAAAACATCAAATCTTTGATTAATGCCACTGAGTCATTCGCTCACTTGTTCATTTTTTTCAACTACTTTTGGTGAGATCGATGCTATGGCCCTCAAAACCTAAAATATTGACTATATGACCCTTAGAGAACAAGTGTGCAAGCACCTAGACTAGGAAAATGGTGGTATTTCAGCAAGTAAGATATGAAACTAAGCCATAAAACTACAATGTCATATGATTCAGGGTATAAAATAAATCAAAGAACGAGGAGATTCTTTAAAAAAATCAACAGTATCATTGTTTTCAGACTGCATTCATTTTCTTCTCTTTGACAAGAACTTCACCTAACTGCTGATCATTGGGTAGACAGACCTAGTTTCACACACAGAAACTCAGCGGTAGACTTTTCCTTCCCACTTCTCCTCGCTACTCTGGTGATGGTTACATACCAGGTTACACAGAATGCACAGAATGGTTCCACAGAAATACAGTGAGGAAAAAGAATCTTTGTTGCCCTAAAAATTTCTTTTCAAAAGTACTATATATAAGTTGGCCCTGATGTTAATGACTTGTAGGTGCTGTAACATTCAAAATACTGGTAAGTTGAAGCAAATTTTGGAGTTACAGAAAATTCCTGAAATGACAGGGTTTTAAAATAATTTTCAAAACACTTGAGCAGAATAATTTAGAACCCCTTTTCTAATATTACTTTTAAAAGATATTATATAACAATGTTGATTATATTCAGGATCCTATATAAGACATCATGAGAGATGCTAAAGTAGTATGCTTGCTTTCAAGTCTTTGCACTGCAGTGGAAAATTATACAGAATTGCTAGGTGAGAGCATAATACAGCTGGAGCAAACATTCATGAAATGATAATAAATACTTCCTTAGAATTTTGGGTCAATAAATTGGAATATGATGTTTTATAGCATCAGAGGGATGATAGTTGAAGGAATCAGGAACACAGGAGGAAAAAACAGAGAGAATATACCTACTTTAGTTCCTTTTATTTAAAATATATCTTTACTGATTTCAGAGAGAGGAAGGGAGAGGGAGAGAGGGAAACATCAATGATGAGAGAGTCATTGATTGGCTGCCTCCTGCATGCCCCCTACTGGGGATCGAGCCCACAACCCGGGCATGTGCCCTGACGGGGAATCGAACCTCAATCTCCTGGATCCTAGGTTGATGCTCAACCACTGAGCCACGCCCAGCCAAGCCCTACTTTAGTTTCTTAAGATGCCTGTGGGCTGTTGTTTGTATGTACGTATATTGGTATGTATGGTTACAATACACCTGGTAGATTCATGCTCTCTTTGTTTGTTTTTTAATTTATCTTTATTTTTGAAAGTATTATAGACATCCCCTTTTTCCCCCCTGCATTGATCCCCTCCACTCGGCATCCACCCTGGCACCGCCCCAGGTCTTCTCCACACAATTGTCTGTGTCCACAGGTCACACATATATGCACCCAAGTTCCTTGATTAATCTCTCCCTCCTCGACTCCTCCTCCCTACCTTGCCTCTGAGATTCCTTCAACTGCTCCATGGTTCTATATCTCTGTACCTATTTTGTTCATCAGTTTATTTTGTTCATTAGATTCATGCCCTCTTAAATGTTTTCTTCCTCTCTTCCTAAATACATCTGATACACATACTAACAATTCTATATAATCTTCCACTGCACTTTGTTTTTTAATCCTCACCTGAGGATATTTTTTCCATTGCTTTTCAGAGTGAGGGTGGGGCGGGGGAGACAGAGAGAGAGGGAGACATCGATTGGTTGCCATCATTGTATGTACTTTTAACTGGTCAATTATAATCAGAAAGCATCCCCCACCATACTCTTTAGTGAAATTAGTTCATAAACCTCACAAGGAAAAACTATCATAACATATTAAGCATTCCCTGTGAGCTAAGTATTTCCATGGGGGTAAAAACAGAGAATGCTTACAAAGCAGATGGTAGAATCTATATACAATATCAAATTCTGTACATGAGTGTTACAAATCCTTGGTTTAATCTCCAGTGATATTAAATAGGCAGAGTTCTGAGGGATAGTGTCATTTATTGCAAAGTCATGCAAGAGTGACCACGATGTGGAAAATGACAAACCATAGAAGAGTAAATATGACTATTTACCTAAAGTGAAGGTTTGATGATAGAGAAATAGAAGTGAAAAGTACATAACAGGTAACAGGGCTGCATTTAGTAAGTGAAGTACTTGAAATGTAAACAGCTTTCAAAACGTCACATAAAAAGTTATCACTGCTATGGTTGTGCTCAAAATTCTCACCAAAATTTGAGTATCTGTAACCTGTTCTTGAACCATCTGAATTGCTTTTGCCAGGTCCTCTTCACCTTCTGGGATGCTAAAATTGTCATCTGGTATCTAAATCACAGAGAAAGAGAATAGGAAGGGTTAGCAAGAAAATAAAAACACAGTATTTCATTTCAGGACTGATTTTTCCTCACAAAACAAAGGATCAAAGAAATATATTTTATGTAAGACACCATGTAATTTTGAAGATCTATGAAAAATGAATAACAAGCAGGAAGCTCTGATTTTCTTTTAAACATCACTCACTGTCACTTCTACTAAACTCGGTATTAGCTTATGGGCAACTGCTTTTATCTATAAAGACAAATGTAGACTAACAACTGTGCTGAAAGAAATGTTAGGCCATCTAAATGCCACTATTGTCTCCTCATCCCAGATTTTTCTCCCCCATTACTTTTTCTTAACTACTACCAGCAACTGCAAATCTCTATTAAATAAATAAATAAAACTCACTGGCTAAATGTTAAATCTTGGAAGAATGTAACCAAATCTAATTATGATATTAATGATAGCTAACACTTATTACATGCTTCTTATGTGCTTATCACAGTTTTAAGCCCTTTACAATTATTTAACTCATTCAGTAATTTCATGTGGTAAGTATCAACATTGTCTCCATTATACCAGCAGCAATAAAAAGCTGATATTCTGTGTTTGTCCTGTTTCTTGCTTGCCCAGACCAAAAATTATCAGGCTTGCATCCACACAGTTTCATTCACAGCTTCTGCCTTCTAGGAGAGCCTCTATCCTCCAAGTCTCAGCAGTAAGGATGGGTCCCACTGGAACCGTGAATGAAAGGAAAGGTTTGAGACAGTAAGCACATTAGACAGAAGTATAGTTAAGCTGGAAGGAAGTATAGGATCTGCACTCCAGCTAGGTAGTAGAAAGAGAATTTTCACAGCTCAAACTAGTAACTGTTAAGGAATAAATAAATAAATATTTCTCAAGAACAGCCATAATGAATTTACAGAGTACCCAAAATAAACAAATTACCTCTTCATATTCATAATCATCTTCAGATGCTTCAGTTATGGTGACCTCTGAACATCTTGTCAAGTTTAAATCTCAAAATATATGGAATAAAATTATGATATTTAAAATTGATTTGACCTTGAAATACAGTGTTAGATCTAATTATCTCACCAACATGGTGAGATAACACATTTTGAAGTTTACATCAATGAAAGTTATTTAAATCTCCACTTTTTTCTTATATGTATTTCACAATTTTAAAATTAAATTCTCTTCTCAGGAAAGGAAGCCCAATTTTCAAGCAAATATAAACTATACAGTAATCATAATTCAGTAGTTCATAAATTATCAAGAAATAAGCATTAAAATCTCAGAAATGATTCTAATAAAAATGCTAACAGCATTGAGACTTTAAAAATTATAAGTTACTCTAATTATAAATGAAAACTTCAACAGTTATTTTGTTGATTGGTAGATTTACTTTTTTCTTCAAATGTACAGGCTTTCTTATGCCAAGTTTAAAAGGTATGAAATTAAACACTTTAATGAACAGTAATTGTTATGAAAATCAAACATGAGATTAGCCTAGTTTTCGTTTTGCTGCTGGTTATAAGAAATTGTCTCTGCTATTCTGTCTTCCAAGAGTTAGCTGAAGGTGTACATAACAACTTATGTTATTTGTAGCAAGAACTGATAACACAGAGTATTTAATAGAAGTCGGATGCTGTCCTAAGGGTTTTCCATGTATGTATTAACTCATTTCACCCTCAGTCTATCTAGGAGGCTGGGACCGTCATTATCTCCACTTTACAGATCAGGACTCAAAGGTATAAGACTGCACAGCTAGGACCTAACAAAGCTGGGGATAAGCCCCAGAAGGTCTGCTTTCACTATGCTATACTACCTCTCCTATTATTCTGTATGGGTTTTCTGTGCATATAAATACTTGAGGTGTTTGCCAGTTACTTTCCACATAGTTCTACACCTCTAAGGTCAGGTAATACATTCTTGTTACTCAGCCCCATCATAAGAAATAACTCTTTCGTGTTTGCCTTATTATTTGAGGAGATGCTTAAACCTAGTTCAGTTATAACCAACCCTCAGGAACCAGGTACCTGTCAAAGGGCCAGTATTTTATTGTCAAAAGTGAGTGTCTCTCCCAATAATATGATGAAAAGTATTTTAGGCTAAAAAATAACTAATTAAAAGTAGACTAAGCAACTGCAAAAAAAAAGTTGCATATCTGCAGTCCATCCCCTAACCTTCAACTCACCTTATTGAGTACCAGCAGTGAAGTACCTACCTTACTAACATCCTACTTAAAATACTTCCAAATTTGCCCAATGAATGCTCTTTTGTAAAGCCACTCTGATACTTTAGGGTATTTATGATAGAACCTCATTTCTAGGTTCCAGAGTCAGTATTCTTTTTTTTTTTTTTTTTACTTATTGCTGAATAGCAAACTCCCAAAAATGTTGGGTTTAAAAAACAATAAGCATCCATTATCTCAGTTTCTGTGATCAAGAATTCAGTAGTGGCTTAGCTAGAGAATTCTGATTTAGGGTCACACGTGAGGTCTCAGCAGAGATGGCAGCCAGGGTTGTAGTCACCTGAAGGCTTAACTGAGGCAACAGGTTTGCTTCATGAAGGTTCACTGACACTGTGGGCTGGAGGACTCATCCTCTGCATGTGGGTCTCTCCACAGGCTTCTTAAGCCTCCTCAAGCTGGCTACCTCCAGAAAACGCAAGCTAAGAAACTGGGAGCCACAGGATCTTTCATGAACAGCCTTGGAAGTCACAGATCATCGTTTATTCAACACCCTATCAGCTACACAGGTCACCCTACTCAGTATGAGGGCACCATACAAGAGCATTCACACCAGGAGGTGGGGACGACTGGGATCATTTTGTAGGCTGGCTAATATACTGCTGTACCGGGCTTCAAGAGTATTAAAGGAGTTAACATATATAAGTCACTTAGAGCAGTGCGCGGCTTACGGTAAAGGCCATACACAGTGTGTGTTGTTATCTTCCCAGTTCTGGAGGAGTCGAGTACCTGTGGAGAAATCCTCATAGTCTCCACGGCCCAGTTCCCCCTCGTGCTAAGGTAAATGGATGGAGACATTGTAAACCCTCCTCCTTCTACATTTATAGTCATCGACACACTTTCACTTAATGAGAAAACTCCCTGAGTATCAGATACAGAAAGTCAGCCTTCTTTTTCTACTTTTATTGTTTACACCATTACAAATGTCTCCATTTTCTGCCTTTGCCCCCCTCCACCCAGCCCTCAAACTCCTTTCCCTCTGGCCATCACCACACTCTTATGCACACATGCTCTCTGGCTAATCCCTTCACCTTCTTTCATCCAGTCCCCCCTCCTCCCCTCTGACAACTGTCGGTCTGTACCATGTACCCACGCCTCTGTTTCTATTTTGTTGACCAGTTTATTTTGTTCATTATATTCCACATATTACTGAGATCATATGGTGCTTGTCTTTCTCTGGCTGGCTTATTTCACTTAGCATAATAATCTCTAGGTCCATCCATGCTGTCGCAAAAGCTAAGAGTCAGCCTCTTTTTTTATGAAAAAGTATGCTCCCTTCTAAGAGACAATTACTAGAAATCGATTTTGTAAGCAATCACCTGTCATTAAGTCTCCAGAAAAGCAATGCCGTCCTTCATTACTGTTCATACCATAAAAAAATTTCACAGAAAAAGTAAATATTCTATAATGATCTAGATAGACTTGATAACTGTAAATAAACCAACTGCTGACAAGATTATTGGCGGGAAGAAAGGTGGAAGCAAAGGTTGTCAAATACAGCAATAGTAGAGGAAAAAAGCTATTTGTTCTAATAGCTTTGGAAATACTAACACCTGTACATTCTACCCAGAAAATAGTCTACACAATGGATTTTAATCACTAGTCAAGTATTGTTTCCACACAATCAAAGGAGACTAAGAAAAAATAACTACCATTTTGTAAAGCTTGAAAAAGTATTGTCACATGGAACATAACCATATTTATTCTCATAACAATCTTGTGAGATTTAATGGCACAGATATAGCTATCTCCAAATTGAAAAAAGAAGAAACTGAATCAAAGAGATTAATAAATTTGTCCAAAATCACATAGCTATGAGTGACAAAGACAAGTTTCTTGAATATAAATGTCAAGAATTGTTTGCTACACCACACTATTTCTACAGTGACGCAATAGGAATATGCACTTTTTGCCAATATCCCGGGTAATAAACTCTCACCTATTTGTTTTCCAAACTCTTCAGAATTATAGTACCAACAGCTAAATCAAATCATTTAAATAGCTCAAGATGAAGACCTTAGAGGAGGGAGAAGCATGAAAGGTCTGCAGACCCAAAGATTAAATTAACCAAGGGCAAGAGATTGAGACAAAGGTCAGGAAAAGGGCAAATGCTTGAAACAGGAGCTGGTACCCTCCTTGACTGACTTTCATCATCCACAGCATGACTTGAACAGAAAACCTCAGCTGCAACTCAGGAGCAACTCAGTTGAAATGTGATGCTGCCGTGTTGCTGAAGAAATAAATGTACTTTGGCATGTATGTTGGTGTGCATCTATCTGGATAGCTGGCTAGCAACACATGGACAGATGCACGGGCAAATCCCAAAATGATTTTGTGACAGTTTACAAATATGCATACATTACAAAATATAAAAATAAATGAATATGGAAATTTGAAGAGAAAGGGAAATAGCAGAAATAAGATCAAGGTAAACATGCAGTACATGCCATAGGTGTCATAATTTTGTTAAACATAAGCCACAGGTTTGACTCTAAGCTTCCCAGTAATCAGGGTAAAAAGGGAAATATAATGATACCAATTCAATATCCATCCAGTGAAAACAGGAGTTTCTCAGCAGATATACAGCAATTTCTAGTTTCAAAGCATGAATAAATTACACTCCCAGTTTCTCATGAAGCAGACACTGTGGGTTGAACAGATACCAATCCCCTTGGCCCTCAGGACAGCCAGAAAGACAGTGCGAAGCAGAATCTGACAGAATAACATGTGTGGAAAGCACTACTTTAGAAGCAGAATGGCCAGAGTGGAAGTAGACAATTCATCAGAATTGCCCAAAGGATATAAAACCTTTACTGTGGTTCTACTTTTCCTGGGAAACTTTAGCATCTGTAATCTAATCTCTTAGGTGAGCCTATTCTCCAGGAAATGTCCATAAAATGAAGCTGGTCACAATTATCATGCAGTTATCCTTCCACTGCAGAATAATAAGCTGGCATCTGGCTTAAAATTAGTTTCTTAATGCCAAGCTGACTCCGAGCCCTTACAAAACTCCCTTCCCTTTATCTACCTAGCATTCCTTCAAAGAACATCACCGAACTCCTGTTCTGAAATTCATTGTTTTCCACCATGTTCCTCTCAGACCTGGCACTTATCTTTCTGGCTGTTTGAATTTGACTTGACACTACTGTGCCTGGTTTCCTAGTCTGCTCTTGCAGAGGGGTCTGCGGCTCCCCTTTCCTCCCTGTTCTGCAACCACAGCTCATAATACCGCCTACTCCCAAGCCAGGCTCTGTGTCCTAGAGTCACAGCCTAGACCCATACCAGGGTCCCACTCCTCCACATCTCCGCTGGCCTGGAAGGAATTTAATAGTACTTGTGAGTTCGCGGAGTATGAATCAGTTCTCTGGTACTAAATCACCATGGGTGAACTAATTGGTACTTTTTGTACTAGCAGAATCTTCACCAGATCCTGACTGTCTAGATCCTATCAGAAAGTAGGCCAATATCCACCCACACTGTACTACCAGGGAGCCCTAAACCCATCACAGTGCTATGGAAGACACAACTGCAAGAAGCCTCAGAGAAGTATTTCAGCTGGTCTAACGGAGAAGAGCTGGAGGTGTCAGATGGTATGATGCTGTCATAAACAAGGTTCTGCAGCTGGACCACAGCCAGAAAGAAACAATTTTCAGACACAGCAGCACACAAAGTTCCTCACACGCTAGTCTCTTCCACTACTACATTTATAGGTAGTGATCACTGCCAGCAGCAGCATCTTTATAAAGAACTGGAGTGAAGCATACAGCTAATTATATTTTACATGATTTCCCAAAGCTGCTATAGCCAGAAATTGCTTTGTAATCTTTGCCATCACCACAGAGCCAATGTACACAGAGGCAATCTAAATTCTAGGCTGGATCCTCCATAATCAACATTTTACTTACTAAATTGAAATAAAAGTACTGTAAATAGTAAACATCATGTGAAGTCATGTTCCCTTTCTTAGGAATTCCAGCTTAAATTAAGTTAACTGAATAATGTAAACCAAAGATGGGAAATAAGTAGCAGGTTTGCTGCCACTTTCCCCATTGTTGTTTGCTTCCTGCAGTCTTTCCCACTGAGTCTTCATTAGGCCTCAGAATTCTTATTAACACCACCTACCAGGAAGCCACCACCATTTCAATTGCATTGCCGAGAATGGAAACATGCTGGCCACCCTTGCCCTAGACAGCTACTGCACATCTTCCACCTCAGACAACGGAAAATACGTTTCTTTGGACATATAAGACTCATAGTTCTCAGAGTGGGTAGCAGTGTAAGTTTTCCAATTTGTAAGCCAGTAGACACAAAGATATCGACTCTACATATTGTACCTCTGAAAATATAAAGGTGAAAGGCTAAGATACTTGTAAACAGCCCTGCTATTCCTATTACAGCTCTTACTAGCAGCACCTGTGAGCTTGCTAGCACTAAAGAATCTCAGCCCTGACCTGAACTTACTGAATTAGAAGCTTCATTTAAAGACCCTTAGCTTTAATTCATACATTAAAGTCTGCCTGAACTACAGGACACAGAAAAAAACACAATTTCTCTCTCTAAATAGCCTATGACTTTCCTGCATGTAAAATTCAGCACTCTGGGCTTAGCAACATGCCTCTTGGTCTAGATTCTACATTCAGATTGTCTATCGTTTTTGACTATATGTAGTGTGCAACTAAGTACCCGTGGGCAAATTCGGTTTTCCAGGGGTACTAAGAAATACACAACTTGAGTACATAATAATTATTAAGGATTTCGCAATATCGCCTTACTTAATACTATAAACATTCCAGAGAAGTAACAAAACAGAGGGAGGGAAATTAAAAATGTTAAAAGAAGAAAATATTTTTTAAATGACAGAAGTCAATATTTATTAAACAAAGTTATCGATGAACATTACACTATTGCAATGAAGGATTGGCTATGGGTGTCACTTAAAAAGACAAGCATCCATCTCAGATGGATATCAGTTTAACCTGATCACCATATTTCAGGGTCTGGAATCCTTAATTTCGCATTTTCAGAAACAGTTTGCAGCTGCCTCAAAGGACTGGCTTAACTCACTCAATCCTCAGAACCTGCTGTTCAGACATTGCTGTTGGGCCAGAGGCCACCTTTCAGTGGCCAGCATATTTATGTCCACTGTCTAAGGAGCCAAAATCTTAGTGTTAGAATGCCTAGAAAGATGACAGAATAATCAAAAGCTAGTAGGGGAGCAGAGAATCGGTGCAAAGGGAGGTGATTATAACACCACTTTGTGGGCCTCACCTTCCTAGTCATGTATTCCATGACTCTTCCTTGAACAAGGTATTTCTCTTGACAGATAGCAAAATATCAGTTAAACATTAGCTTTCTTAGCACAACTCATCCCTGCCTGCATCTCCCAACTGGAATTGGGCATTCCCAAATGTCTACAGCTACACATTAATAGGCAGCCCATCATCACTACAGCAACTGAAAACCTCACCCAAGTTGTATTGATTTCTAATAGAGGATTCATTAACAAAAAACAACCAACCTTCTTTACAAATTCTACAGACACCTACTTGACCCTTTACAGATCACTTAAAATCTAGCCTTATATTCTACAATGCTGCAAATTCCTTTTTCATGAAGTCTCCAGAGGATTGATGCACTCCATGACCAGATTTCTTAAAGCTCTGGCAATAGCTTTAGAACTACGTCATGTATGTATGTACCTCATCATTTGGAAGTTTAAAACATAAAAACAATGATATTGTGAAGTGGTTCAGAAGAGAAACAGGTGGCACTACTACAGCTAGGAGGTTATAAGGGAGGGGTATCGCAGGGATTAGAAATCTTTTTCCTGAACACATTCTCTAAACTGTTGTAAATCATGCAGGGACTTTATTAATGAAGCCACTCCCTACCCCATGACGGATCCTGGCTATGTTTCTGGTTTGGGCCACATTAATGTGTACATGTTGTTTATGTCTAAATGTTTAAAAGCAAAGAAAAGGCTGATTTCCTGGAGAATTTGAGTAAATATCTTTCAAAGCCTTGCTCAATATTGATATCTTGTTGTCTAGTGTTCTAGGAGCATCTGTTCAGTCATAAATAAAGGAAGTCCAACACTAAATGCAGTAGATTAGAAGTGATACGGTGTATGTGCAAAGTAGAGAACATCAGATTTCTGATTCATTTGTGCATATCATAACTTTTATTTATCCACTGCAAGAGCTCAATTAAATGACCTGAGAGCTAAAGACTTTAAACCCAAGAAAGTCTCACTCCAACAACTATCATAATTGCCTTAAGAAACAATGTCAAATAACATTATACAGTCAATTCTTAATTATGCGTGTTACACGAGCCCAGGGATACAAGGATAATTCGCATTCAGGAGTAATCCCCAAACCTAAGAGTTAAAGTCTCTCCCATGACTAACCCTTACCTGAATGTTGCATTGAATATAGAAAAACTGAGTGGTTAAATGTTTAGCTTTGTTATCCCCTGACTACTCTGGTTGAAACCCAAAATAGTAGTCAGTCAAGCAGAGAGAGAAGAAAAGCAAAGGGCCTAAATAATTCACAAACTAGATAATAAAATTCTGAAAAGTTGGAGTTGCTTATATTTGCAAATGTGACTATTAAGAGAAGTCTTTACGACAGGCTTTGGGTCAAGTGCTATGTACTGGCAGTTGTGACTCGGTGATTGCCCCTGCCAATTGAGGAAACATGACTTTCATTGCTGAAAGTTGTGCTATCCTGGAGTCCCACCATTTATGGGACTCCAACGTTAGCAACAAGTTACCTCATTGTGTGTCTTATGTTAACAATTAAACTATGTGTTACAGAAATCATTTTAACGCAGACAAAAATGTTGATGCCTGGTTATCACTCAGTAGCAAGGACAGTGGGTAACTTTATACGTGATGTAGACAGCTCTGAAAGAAATGTTGACTTATTTTTTAATTTAAAAAGAACTATTACTAAAAAAGCTTGACAGTGCTATAAAAACAGAAATATAAAGCTTCACTTAAGATGCTAAAGCACCCACAAATCAGTTTCCAACTCTTCAAACTTATATACTTGGAAAAATCATGCCTGCCTCAAGTAAAATACCATTTATTTTCTTTGATCTCTTTAACGAAGTTGCTGAAAGCTCCCTGGAGCTGGGACGGGTACCGAGCCGGGTCAGGCGGGCGGACCAGCCGCCGGAGCTCACAGCCGGGCCGCGGCCGGGTCCCTGAGGCCGGGAACCAGAGCTGGAGTGACTCTAGCGGGACAAACCTAACAAGGCAGATTTTGGAGTTTCCTTGATGCCTTTGAGAATAAAACAGATAACTCATCTCCGTCCTACCTGCCTGAATAGGGATCTTCTTCTCACGAACCCTCCCCCTCTCTGCAGGACAAAATCATCTACATGCCTAGAGGAGTGGAGCTGAGAAGGTTTTGGGGTTTGGGTTTTTTTAATATTCACCAGAGAGTGTTTTACTGGTTTTAGAGAGAGGAAGGGAGAGAAAGAGAGAGAGAGATCAATGGAAGAGAGGAACATGGACGGCGGCCTCCCCTACGTGCCCCACCGGGGATGGGAGTTCTAAAGTTTTTCACAAGAAATAAAAGCGAGTGTTCCGAAAGCTCGGGGCTGCTTCAGGAAGACCACCGCGCCAGAAGGCCGGCTGGGCCGGCGCGCTGGCCACCTTCACACACCGCTTCGTCCAGAGTTGACTCGGTGGTAGCTACGCCCGGGGTTTCGGGGCAGAGACGCCGCCTTGAGGTCCAACAAGCGCCTCGGCCGGCTCGGCGGCCCCGAGCCTCAAGGGCGCCCCCCAGTGGGGAGCCGGGCTCTCGCCCCTGACACCGTTACAGCGGCCGGCACCGGGGCCGCGCCTACACGGGAAGGATACGCTCCAGGTAGTAGGTGCCCTCGGCGGCCACCGCGTCCGCGGCGTCCCCGGCTGCCGGCACGCCCCCGCCCAGGGCTTCTTCCAGAACCCACAGAGGCGAGATGCGCGTCCCTTCCGGAGCGGCCATCGAGGAGCTTCGGGCCGCGGCCCCGCCGGCCCACCGCGTCCGTAGGAACGACGTCGAAGACGCTCGCCAACGACCCCACGCAGCTCTCGCGAGAGCCCGACACTCCCTCACCCCTCCCACCAGGCCAGCTCCGGGGCGGGAGGGCTGCCCCTGTGATACCAGCGGGAACTCGCTGAGCTTCCCGGGTTACCACGGCAACGTCGTTGCCTAGTTACCCTGAGAGTTCCGACGCCGCTCCTGGAGTGCGCAAGATACGATGCCAAAAACAGCCGGCTTGGATTACACACATTTTCTCATCGAGGCAGCTTGGTTTTCTTTAGGTTTGACGCTAGCATTTGTTTCTCTCTTTACTTTCTTCCCTAAATTGCCTTTCTCTTGGTTCTTACATGCCATCCTCAATGCCCGGATTTTAGATATGTGGAGAACCCCAATTATCCCCAGGGAAAACTCCGGGAAAAGAGGAAGATTCTCAGTACTTTG